AAACCTTACAGTCACACCAGCAGCGAGATTTTTTTTTTTTTTTTTAAATCACTCTTAAACAGCCTATTTTCTAGCTTTTTTTTTTCCTCCCCTTTTTCTGTAGAAGGAAAATAAACCCAAGCAGGGGTTACTGAGGTTTCTCAGCTTTTACCGCTTCTTAAAAGTCCATTAAAAAAAAAATAAATCTGTCTTTAACTGCGAATTCGAAAGCGTTTTCAGTCACACAAAACCAACACAGGCTGGAGAACTTTCAAACTTTTCCTTGTCAGAAGGAAGGGGGAAAAAAACCACACAATAAATTATGAAAAAGCATAATCCTTAACTAAATTTCCTGTTTTGTGTCTCAGCATTAACAGTGTGCCTGAATTTCCTCTTTTTTTTTTTTTTTTTTTCCTCTTTTAACATCACAGCCAATCCCTACCCACCCATTCACCAACAACCCCCAGCCTAAATTCCTGGAGGTTCCAAGCCTGTTGGAGTTGGAAATATCAGCTGAATCCATAACTCATCCCCAGGAAAAACCCAGCTCCTCCGCCCCGTAAAATAAAGATTAAACATCCTCAGGCCGCGGAACCGCTCCTCTCGCCAGCAGCCGCACCAGGAATTAACCAGCCATCTCTATATTCACCCTTTTCAAAGAAATTTGCTGTCCTGACCATTTTTAGTTGGTTTTTAAAGGAGTTGTGGGTGCTTTGGAGGAGCAGGAAGGAGGGAGGCAGCGCGATTGCGCAATGTTTTAAAGTGTTTATCAAATTGAACGGGGGGGAGAGAAAATTTACATCCCAGAAACTTGAGACACGCCGCACCAGGAATTAACCAGCCATCTCTATATTCACCCTTTTCAAAGAAATTTGCTGTCCTGACCACTTTTAGTTGGTTTTTAAAGGAGTTGTGGGTGCTTTGGAGGAGCAGGAAGGAGGGAGGCAGCGCGATTGCGCAATGTTTTAAAGTGTTTATCAAATTGAACCAGGGAGAGAAAATTTACATCCCAGAAACTCGAGACCGTGGCGAGCAACTTTCACTTTCAGAAATAGCCTTTCAAATGAAAACACGGTCTCGCTGCACAACGGGCCTGTCTGTTCTGGTATTTTAATAAAAAGGGCCTTTTAAGCAGCAGATCGCAGGGGACTCCCGGGAGCAAAGTGCCCATCGCACGGGGCCACCTGGGCCAGATGCTCCCAGCTGGTGCCCAAAAGCAAGGTCTGGTTCTTCCAGAGCTCTCTAAATTCCAGCCATTTAGCTTTAAATGCAAACTAAGTGGGTAAATCTAAGAAAAAATTAATTTTCTTTCAGAAAAAAAGCACTCTCCAGCTCTGCTGGTCTGTCCTTACTGCGAGAGGGTCAGACCACGGATTTTACATTTTCTTTTAGTTTTGCTCCCTTCCCAATTTAATTTCTTCTGACATTCCACACCTCAAGCTGGGAAACCCACCCCAGAGAAAGAGAATATATCCCATTATCTGGCAACAGGTGAGAAGAATGAACCAACACACGCTGGCCAAGGACAACAGAGAGGCTACAAGAGGGAAATTCCCAAACTGGCCACACGCACAGGAACCCGCTGACGGATTTCTGGTCCGTGGAAAAAACGATAAGACAATAGGAGTGATATTTGGGCAGCTCCAGAGAGCTTCCCACCTCCGAGTTCAACTCTTAGACCTCGGTGCCCCAATTCCTTCAGCTTCTTGTAAAGATGGGGCAACCAGCATGGGATCTACCAGCCCCTCCCAGGGCAAGAAGGTGATTTATTTTTTTTTTGGAAGTGAGAGCTTGAGTTCTGCCTCCTCGCGAGGACATCAAAGGAGAACTTTCCCCAGCTGCTGGCGAGTGGAAAAGTGGCTACTTCGAGCCCCACACAAACCAGCCCATTCTACGGGCGACTGGTTGGGCCCTGGCCAGCCCTGGGGCTCCGCGGCGTCACCGCTCACGCGCGAGGAAGCAGAGAAGGGCATTTACCGGCACTAAAGACGGGTGTTTTCCAAAGGGAAGAGCGTCCAGTCCCTCCGGAGCCCGGTCCAGGGACACACAGCAGGACCACAGGGCCGGGAGCGCGCCTCGTTAACGCTAACGAACTTCAGGGCACGACAACCTCCCGGCGCAGGGCAGAGCGGTTATCTCCGTTATGCAGATAAGGAAATAAGGCAGGAAGGCAGAAGTTGGGGCGGCCAGAGGGGAAGTGTGATGAGCAGAGGACAAACCTCCATCTCCCCGGGCACACGCTCCTCTCCCGGCCACCCCGTTATCCTTCTTGCCTGCTCTAACCCAGAGAGGTCAGTCTCCCCGAGCTGCCATTCCCCTGCCTTCAAAGGGGGGTGAACGCCTTCCTAAGGCAACTCTCCATGTCAAAAAAGCACTAATTTCCTTAAGTAATAGCAGTTCAATACCATATCCAGGGATAAGATGGACCCAGCAGGAAAAGGGGTAGGTAACGCTGAAACGTGCCTCCTGTGTAAATCATTAAAATCCACAACAATGCTCCAGCCACACAAAAGAGCTATTTCCATTTGTTTCGCAGCTACAGATGGCAGAAGAAAACCTCTCAGACAATAAGCTCTATTTAAACATATCGATCCAGCTTTTTTGGTGCTGTTCCCCCCTCCTCCTCCCTCCCATCCTGGCTACAACCAGAAGATGATAAATGGCACCGGGGGGGTCACGGAGCTGCCCTGCCTTTGCTTCGTGATGGTGGAGCTGAGTTGGGACCCCAACCCAGCAGCAAGGGGCTCGCCTGCCCGTGCCCCCCGGGACATCCCACGTAGCAGACAGAGAAAGACACACAAAACCTCTCTGTGGGGTGAAGCTCTGACTCCCCAAGCCCTACGTGCTCAAAAAGCCAGTCCACGGAAAGCAGCGTGTTGAGAAAAAACCAAGCAATTACCTAAAAGGTCTGGGGTTTACTCGCAGACCCAAGACTAAATATCGAGTTACTGACTTCTGTGGTCAACCACAAGTCAGCTTCTCTCCTGGTAGTAATCACCGCAGGTCTGCTTGTCCGGGTCAGTTTTACAAGAAGCCCACAGCTATAACCAAACCTGAAGGTCCTCAGTTTCCCACCCCCTCCCAGAAAAACCCATTAAAGAGAATTCAACACCTTAAAAGCCACAAGAACTTCTTGCCTCATTTACGAGCAGTAACGGAGAACGTGTCTGAGGGCAGAAGGCAGCTCTGTCCCACACCATTTGGGTTTTGTTTAAGGCCACACCTGAGGGGAACGGCCCCGGAGGGAGGTAAATCCAGCAGCGTTGAAGAAAAGGAGCTGCAGGGAGCAGGAACCCAGCCCCAGCTCCAGAACCAGGCGCCGTGACACCTCCCAGTCCCTGCTCACCTACGCAGCACACGCTTTCCCTCCCTCACCCTCCTAAAGGACACCCGCCACTATCCGGCTTTTCATTCCGCACCTCGATTTGGGAAACGAGGAGAAGGAGGAGAGGGATCTCTCCCTTTGTCTGCGGCACCCACTTATCTCCTCTACTTCGCTCTACCTCAATAACACAGAAAATCCAGACCCTGCAGCCACCCCTCCTTTATGTAATTCACTAATGTCTCCAAAGTACTGGCCAGACCGGGCAGGCTACCATTACCATCCCTCGCTGGCCATCAACTCCACCAGTTATTTATCCCTCCTCTTCACAGCCTCTCCAGACCAACCCGCCCTTAACTCTCACGCAGGAAAAAAAACAAGTAGATTAGATGATATTAGAGCTTCTGACGAGCTTCCCAACCTCCTCTTATACCCCCGAAAAGAGGGTCTAGACCCACTCCCCATTAAGTCACCCAACTTCCAAAGCCAGCTGGTCCTCAACAGCGTCTCTTGTCGATTATGGTTGCTCCTTTTTGCTTCATCCACCTGAAAACCTGAGACTCCCCCTCTCCATCCCAGCTCCAGCCCCACTGCCTGCCCTTCCCATCACGACAGCCTCTTCCACCCAACACCCTCCTGCTGCTCCTCACCCAAAGATCTCCCCCAAGAGAGCTCAGCCTCTCCTTGCGTCCCCCCCAAACACACCCCCAGGTCATCTCCTCACACAGAAATTACACACCCCCAGCCCACCAGCCCCCCGTGATCCCATCAGACACCCTCCCAGCTTCTCCTCCCTACCCTTCCCCCCTCTACACAACCTCCAGCACCCCCAGAGCCCTCCTCATGTCCCCCCCAGGGCCTCTTGACCCCCAGACCACCCCCTGCCCCCAGGTCACCCCTCTGACCTGCCATGGGGGTCCCCTTCTCCCACCCCTGCACCCCAGGACCCCCCCACC